TCTTTAGTTACTGCAGGCTATATAACTGGTTTAAAAATATATTTTTAAAAGTTTATAAAGCCCAGTAAGTCATTTTACATGTAAAATTCAATATTCTTAGAATAGGGAGGAAGCAAAAGTTGTGGGTTTTGCTCAGTTTACAATTATAAATACTGGGGTGAATTTTTTAAGTCAAATAACATTATGGATCTTACAGTGAGTAAAGCTAAGATGATAATTTAGGTCCTCCCTACACAGCTACACTTTGTTTCTACCAAGAAATGGTAATATGCTACTAGTAACTTAAAAACCATAATATTCCCATTTTATTTGAAGGAGTCGTGGTTAACAAGCAACAGCAAGTTATGAAAACCATTTTGTTCACTAATGATGAAAAACAAGGAACTCATGATCTTACATGAGAATAATAAGCATTTCTAGAAAGAGAAGGGAAAAAAGACAGAGGAAAAGATATGATTAAACAAACACAAGGCGAAAAAATAACCTGAAACAAAGATTAAAACTTGATATGCAATTTGAAAAGACTCATTCAGTTCTAAGAAAAAATAATGCAAACACATAGAAACAGAGGGAGTTAGGCATATCCTGGTGCAATTCCTGAATTCCAATATTTAAATAAATAGCTTTCAAGATTACAAAATTCTAGAGAGATTTTTTTTAAGTTACTTACAAAGGACTGAGAACCAGACTAGCATGGAACTATTCACCCACAACCCTAAAAACCAGCAGACAATGGATGATTATCCACAGACCACCGAAAAAAAAAAAGACTGCAGTCCAGGAACCCTGTTTCCAGAAATGCCATCAGTCACCCATCAGGGTAAAAGAAAGACATCTTTACTTGTGCTGGAATTCAGAGAGTTAGGATTGTTTGAAGAAAATTATGGAAGTCTTCTGATCGTTGGATCAAGAACGGAGACCACAGGACAGGAGCAAATGTCCAGAATGACACTGTCACTGAAAATATGTGATGTAAGTGTAAAGAAAGGATTCTCAAAACAGAAAGGTAATGCTGTAAGAGGAAACCTCACAATGATCTGCACCTGTAAGCTTAAATTATTTCAACAAAACCCACATATGGGGCAGGGATTTTGTTGAAACTCACTGAGGGCAGCATGAGAGTGGGAAGAGAACATTGCAAAGTTCTTCTGTAAGTGCTGGGGGTGGGGGTTGGGCACATCAGGCAAGGGCATCGTCATTATTTATTTTAATACAATAATAAACAAATAGACATTCAATTAAGATTCTCTGAACATGATAATGACAGTAAGAAGTGTAGTTGACCTTCCAAATTAACTGGAGGCAAAGAAGAGCATCAAAAGAAACTGCATCATGTGAACAAAAAATAAAGAGAAAAGGAGGATGCAACAACAAGGGAAAACAGATAGTAAATAAACATGATATTGAAAGAATAAAATCAAGTAGAGGCTTATCATGGTGAGTGGGAATGGCCTGAAGAAAAGATTGGTAATTGGGGTTTCTGGTGGGGATGGGTAGGAAGGCAGCCTGTTGGTATGGGGATCTGAACACTTGGCTTTGGTGTTGTCAACACTGGGCTCTAACCAACTGAGCTAACCCACCAGCCCTTGGGATTTTCTTTCTTTCTTTTTTTTTTTTTAACCCAGCATGAATACCGGAAGGGGCTGCTGCCAGGAGACAACATTTGTGCAGAGTCTTGGAGAGGCTGGTAGGGGCTCAAAGTTCAGCCCATCTCTACAGGCTTCTCTCTGAGATCTGGAAGGGAAGCAAGAGCTGGAGATGCTAAGGGACCATTTTCTGTGAGGTGGTGGAATTCAGAAATAACTGTTCCAATGCCTCGGTGACAAAGCAAGGTTCAAAGTGAACCTGAGGGGTATTCAGCTTCCTCACAGGATACATAATGAGACAAACCCACTTATTAGGCACCATCTGCTATCCATCATTCTACTTCCATGCATTCTCCACCCTGCTTTCAGAGTGGCCTTTCTAAAACCAGAATTCATCAGGTCACCCACATGGTCCCCACTGCCCATAAAATCTACAAAGAGGGTCTTTCTATATGCAGTTAGAGATTCACATCCTTTTACAATAAGGAACTTCCTATTGGTCCAGAATCATTAAAAGAACAAAACCTTGTTAAATTCTGCATTGAGATCCACAGAAGACTGGGAATCACCAAGATCTCCAACTATCTCAATTTGCCAACCAAATAACAAAATTGATCAGAATTTCCTTCCCTTGAGATTTATGTTACAACTCTGCTGCTTCAACATGGTGATGTTGGAGCCAGACACATTGGAGTTCTAATCTTGGTTCTGCCACTAGTTGCTATATAACAAATCATTGAGTCTTGCCTGGTCTGAGATTCTTCAAGCGTTAGCTGAAGGTAAGAAAGCCTATGTCTGTGGCATGAGAAAGCCTACATAGTAGGCTTTAAAAATATAACAAAGAAGATCTGCAAGCATTTAGTTTACCTGAGTTTAGCAATTTATGCCTGTGGCTTTTAAAACGGTCATTGCTGAGCTCATGAATCATGGTGGTATTTTAAATGTGATGACTGTTAGCATATTTATTATCACTGTTTATCCACTTACCTCAGTTTTGCCACCTGTCAGACAGGAAAACGGCATGCCACGTGGCATGGTTTTCTGTGTGATGAGGGTGAACATTTGTTTTATTCATTTAGAATCTAAGATGAATATTATTCTAGAAGTACAATGTATTCATCAGCTTAGTCTGGCAACTTGAAACAATCCTACCCAAGGCTGGATCCATCCTTCCTCAGATATCCCATGAATGCTCATTCACATCTCCTGATCACAGCACCACTGGCATAACTGCCCAGATAGATTTGGCATAGTGGAAGGCTTTTCAGCAGTTCAAACAAACCCTTCCACGACTTGTACAAATGTTCTTGGGAGAAAATCCAAGATCTGTAACATGGCCCATACTGTCTAAATGGTCTGGCCTCTGCTGTCCTTTTCAGCCTCATCTTGCACCATCCCCAACGCTTTTCCTCTCTGTGCTCAGAACATCAGCTTTCTTCCAGTTCCCTGATCAGTTACCTCGTAACTTCCTGCTATGGGACCTTTGCACTTGCTCTTTCCATGGTCTGGAATGCTCTTCCCCACCTTCATACCATTT